TGCCTTCCCATAGCAGCGGAGGACTCAATTTACAAATGGAACACACTCAGCAGGAAGTGGAACATGTTCTGCTTCCAAGGCAAAGTTCACAAACCAAAACACCTACTTCCGGGTTTGCAGCGTTCTTATCCAAGTTGTTCATAAACTAAGCTGTTCTTAAACCAAGGTACCAGTGTATACATTTTTGTATGCATTAATTTGGAAAAGTGTGAATTTCTAAGGATGAATGCCTTTCATTTCTCATAATGTTTCAGTAAGGGCAAACTTGGTATGATGTTCCTGTTAGTTGCATCATTCAGTATTAGTTGCATCTTCCTCTTTTTGGGGGGAATATTTATTGAATTTTACAACAATTAATGATACAAATCTCATTCATCATGTTATTTACAATTATTCTCCCTCCCCTTGCCTGGACTTCCCTCAGCTCCCCCTCTGCTGAATTATTTAGTTTTATTTATCGTATCCTGCTTTTCCTACACAAAAATAAAATCCCTTATCATTTCTCTAAAATATCTGTTACTCAAATGAAGTTGTGAAAGTGTATTCAAATCCTGCCAGTGAATCCAGTCCATTCTGTTGTTTTTGCAAATAAACTGTAAATGGTTCCCAAACTCTTTTGAAGTCCTTTTTGTCCTCTCATAGTTTGTCTGTTAGCTTAGCCAATTTTGCATAGTTCATCAGCTTTTCTTGCCATTGTTCTTTTGATGGTATTTCTTCCGTCTTCCAATATTGTGCAATCAAGATTCTTGCCGCTGTTGTAGCATACATAAATAATGTCCATTTTTCTTTTGGTAGCTCTTGATTTGAGATACCTAACAAAAAAGCTTCAGGGTGTTTGACAAAATTCATTTTAAACATTTTTTTTCAATTAATTGTATATCATTTCCTAATGTTTTTTAATGCAATTGCATTCCCACCACATATGATAAAATGTTCCTTCCTTTTCCTTACATCTCCAACATCTGTTATTTTCTTCCCTAAACATCTTTGCCATTTTCACTGGTGTGATATACCATCTATACATCATTTTCATGTAATTCCTTCTTAATAGTATGCAATTTGTGAATTTTATATAGTTGCAGCTTCCAAGCCAAGTCTGTTGGGTACATAAAAAGGAGCTCTTTGCTGCAAGATTATAGAGCTACTACAGCCATGCAGACTTCATGGCCTGTGCTGTTCTTATCACAGTCTGCACTGTAAATAAGCAAGGGGAGGGGAGGAACCAGCATAGGTTAAAGGACCAGCACAGTTTGATGGACCCGGTAGAGTACAGGGTCAGATTTAAGGTGCTGCTTTTGACCTTTAAAGCCCTTCACGGCCTAGGACCCTCATACCTACGGGACCGCCTCTCCTGGTATGCCCCACGGAGAGCCTCAAGGTCCATAAATAACAACACCCTAGTGGTCCCAGGCCCTAAGGAAGTTAGATTGGCTTCAACCAGAACCAGGGCCTTTTCAACTCTGGCTCCGGTCTGGTGGAACGCTCTGGCTCATGAGACCAGGGCCCTGCAGGATCTGATTTCTTTCCGCAGGGCCTGTAAGACAGAGTTGTTCCGCCTGGCCTTTGGCTTGGAGCCAATTTGATTCCCTCCCTCCCTCTCTTTCTTTTTTCCTTTCCTTCTCCTCCTGCGATGAGGCTACATTTTAATATTTGAATGTTTCAATATTTTAATGTTGTATTTTAATGTTGTATTTAAGTTGTAATCATTCAACTTGCTTTTATTATTGCTTGTAAGCTGCTCTGAGCCCGGCCTTGGCTGGGGAGGGCGGAGTAAAAATAAAAATTATTATTATTATTAGTATTATTATTATTATTATTATTATCTTAAACCTTTCAGATCTGCACTCTGGATATTAAGTAATTTGCAGCTGTACTTGCAGGCATTACTTCAGGGAATAAATGTATCTAGGAAACTCAATGCCAGAAACAGGATGAAAACTGAATGAGTGATCTTACAAGGAGAACATTGGATGAGTTGTTTTGGACATCCAGAATTGTGTGTGTGTTGGGATCTCCCCTTTGTGTCTTCAGAAATGTAGCTAAAGTGTAGTAGGGGAAAGTAAATAAACACATGAAAATCACCTCCAAAAGCATTAAAATGTGTTTGTGCAACAAGCCCTGAAAATAAACCTGGCATTGATTATGAAATGAGATGAAACATGAATGGAAGGGAGGGAATATTTGCTGTAATTGATTAGCAAATTCTTGATAAAAGACAGATACAAGAACTTAAGTGGTGCCTTGGGAAAGTGTAAGACGTCATCAGTTTTCAGCACACACAAGAAATATTTGTTGTGGGCAACTTTTTAAGCATTCAGAGTTCATATTGTATTGTGCTGTGTGTCCAGAAGATAATTTGAAGTTGTATGGGATGCAGAAATAAATGGACCAGATGCACTCAGACAGGAGAAGAATGATACATTATTGTCTCAACGTGAACCCTGCAAAACCCAGGTCATTTGGGGTGACTAAAATCAGATTCACATTCCCGAGTTGGATTGTGCTGCGAACAACGTGTCTCAAGGCTAAATGTCTTCCTAAATGTCTGAGTCACTCTGTAGCCTCAGTTCTTCCAAAAACATAGATGCATTATCTTTCTTCCCTTTTCATTTTTAAGAAACAAAACCAAGCTGGCCAGGAAAATATCCAGAGCTCAAGAGGGGAGGGAGTGAACAGGAGAGGGGACAGGGTAGAGGACCTTTCATTCTGATGGTCATGTCTAGCTTTTAAACACAGTAAATTATTTGTCCCTAAGAATCAATTAAAAACCTATGGACAACTTGTTTTCACTCTTCATTCCCTCCCTCCCTCCCTCCCTCCATCCCTCCCTTCCTTCCTTCCATTTTGAGGTCCTTTTTGTTTGTCATTTACGAACTTTTTAAAGAGCTTAGTAATAGGGTCATTCCACTTTCCTTCTCTATGAGTTCAGTTCTACCAGTTTTCTGTGATTTATTTCTTCTTTTTATAATTACTTTGTTTTCTTTAACAAAAAAACAACCCACCAGCTTATTTAATTGCAAGGTATGCTTTTTGTAATCTTTCTGCAAACAGCTTAGAAGCTTTGGTAATTAAGTGATATAAAAAGAAGTAAAATAATTATCAGTTTTTCATTCTGTTTCTTTTTTTCTTGGGTTTGTGCAAACTTCTCATAGAGTTCCTTCCCTCCTGCTCTCTGCTCTCTGTGTGTGTTAGTTTCTGTTTGTTTGTTTGTTTGTTTGTTTGTTTGTTCTTTCTTCTTCATGAAGAATACTTCCCGAAAAAACTAACTTCTCCAGGTTTCTATAACAATGGTCAAATCAGCTAGCACAAGACAAATATATTTGTCTTTATTTAGGTAGGTTTACCCAGGAGCACCTCCCTCATGTGCCAAGCTTTCAAACCCAGCTGACGAAAAGAGGGTGGGAGGGAGGAAACATTGTATGTATTTTCTTATTCCAAATCAGTGAAGCCCTTCCTTCTTGGAGAACCATTGCAACTACCCTTCTGAAATATGGATGTTTCATCTCCTCAGAAAGGACAACCACACCTGAAATTCCCACCCAATTCCAGAAAATTTTAAAAAGTTAGAACCCTTTTCTTTCTTTTCCTTTTAATAAGTAATGATTCCTGTACACACACAAAACCAAATTTTTAGTGCATCTGCTGAAATTTCGTTTGCTGAACCCGCTCTGGATGGGTTTATATTTGCCTGCAAATTCCATTCACTTATGTGAAAAGCAAAGAAGTTATAGCCATTTTTAGACTCCTTATGGTCAATGGAGTGAAACAGAGCTTCATATGCCAAAGATCAGATTTAAACACAAATAATGAATTGAATCAGAGCAACAGAGAGTGGATTGGAAACAGATATTGGACTGCTTCCAAATTCTACAAGGCAAATCACACATTCACCGCATACCCCTGCTCTGTAACTCCCATGCCCTGAGCCCAAATTATCAAAACATAGAATCATAGAATCATAGAGTTGGAAGAGACCACAGGGGCCATCGAGTCCAATCCCCTGCCAAGCAGGAAACACCATCAGAGCACTCCTGACATATGGTTGTCAAGCCTCTGCTTAAAGACCTCCAAAGAAGGAGACTCCACCACACTCCTTGGCAGCAAATTCCACTGTCAAACAGCTCTTACTGTCAGGAAGTTCTTCCTAATGTTTAGGTGGAATCTTCTTTCTTGTAGTTTGGATCCATTGCTCCGTGTCCGCTTCTCTGGAGCAGCAGAAAACAACCTTTCTCCCTCCTCTATGTGACATCCTTTTATATATTTGAACATGGCTATCATATCACCCCTTAACCTCCTCTTCTCCAGGCTAAACATGCCCAGCTCCCTTAGATTATTTTAAACAGATTATTTTATTTCATGCTGGTAGTAATGTGGTATCACCAGAAAGCTGAATGTGCTAGTGCGTGCTTCCCCAAACGTTGCTCTGTGACTATTAATCTTAGTTAAGTAAATCTCGGAGAGCTCTGCCGCATGACACCTGGGGTAGTGAGATGAGAATTTGGCAAGGTCAAAGCTGCACCACCCTGGCTACAGACTGCAGCAACTGCAATTCACTGTGCCATTGTACGCCCCCAAAAACACACACTGTTGCACAAGAAATACATCACAGTTTTTAACAACGAGACTTTCTGAATCCTTTGCTTAATGGCATATTATCATGTTCTGTATTACAGAGACACACATATAATATAGGGAGGAATTCAGCAAAGCGCTATGGCAAGGGGAAGGAGAGAGGGAGTGCCTACACACTAGCTAAAAGCCTTGCACTGTGTTCCACTAGGGTTTTTTTTTGGGGGGGGGGTTATCTGCCATTACCTCTTTCTCTCATATTCTTATGGGTGACCTGATACCTGCAGCACCTAACAGAGATTTTTTTAATATATAATATTTTTATTAGGAATTTCAACAAAACATTTTATCAAAGAAACATATAATCCTTAATTCGCCCCCTATTTTCCCCCCTTCCCCTCCCCAAAAAGTAACCCCCTCTCCCCTCCCCTCCCCTCCAACTTCCTTCAGTTCCTCTCTCTGGTTTATCAACAAATGTTAGTCTCTGTATATTACAAAATTGTATAGATCCTTAATTTATCTAACTAGCTGCTAACAATAAAAAGTTTGTGGATGTTTATTCAAAACCTGCCAAGGAGTCCAGTTCATTTCGTTGTTTCTTTAAGTACTTTGTAAAAGGTTCCCATTCATCTTTAAAGTCACAGCTATCCTTGTCACGTAGTTTATGTGTCAATTTTGCCAATTCTGAGTAGTCCATCAGTTTCTCTTGCCATAGTTCTTTAGTCAGGATTTCCTCGTTCTTCCATCCTTGTGCTATTAAGACTCTTGCCGCCGTTGTCACATACATGAAGATATTTTTCAATTTCCTTGACAGGTCTTTCCCTACAATCCCTAACAAAAATGCTTCAGGTTTTTAAACAAATGTTAGATGGAACATTTTCTTCAGTTCACTGTATATCATTTCCCAAAACTTTTTAATTTCATTACAATCCCACCACATACGGTAAAAGGTCCCTTCCTTTTCTTTACACTTCCAACACATATCTGAACTGGTTTTATACATTCTTCCTAGCTGCACTGGTGTTATATACCATCTATACCTCATCTTCATATAATTTTCTTTCAACAAGGAACAATCTGTAAATTTTAAATCAATTTCCCATAACCTTTCCCAATCTTCCAACATAATATTATGACCTATATCTTGTGTCCATTTAATCATAACTGATTTCACCTCTTCGTCTTTCGTCTCCCATTCTAACAGAATACTATATGCACCTTTCAACAGCTTTACTTTCCCTTGTATCACTTCCCTTTGAAATCTAGATATCGTGTAGCTAAATCCTTTCTTATTATCTTCTTTGTATGTTTCATGTAGTCAGCATCTAACAGAGATTAATCCAGTCCAGCCAGCAGTCTCTGTCCTGAAAGTAACTTCAGTTCAGGGGTGCCATCTAGGGAGGGACGGGGGAGCGAGGCCCCCCAAAAATATTTTCAGGGTGAGGACCAGTGTCCCCCCACCCCAGTCCTGCAGCAGTCCCCTCGAAGATCACAAGGGCACCTTCCAGAAGAGCACTCTGGCAATCTCTGCCAGGGACGCGCCAGGACGAAGCGTCTTTGCCCTGGTGCATCCTTTTCACGAAGGTAAGGTGGTTGTGGGGTGGGGGTGAAGGTCCTAGTTGGCCTGGCCAGGGTTGGTGGGGCAACATGTGTGATGTTGTGCACATGCAGCATGTTGGGATCAATTCAGTGCATCTGCCTCTGTTACTACTGAAATATTTAAATTCTGGCTACAGCGTCATTTTTTTTCTTTTTTAAAATTTTATTTATGCTTTCCAAATTTATATATTTCACTAATTTCACAATCACTTTAACATTTCAGAACTTGTCTTCTTTCCCCCCCTTTCTGCAGTTCCTTAAATTTATTCTTAATATCTTCTGCATATCCAAATTAACCCAAATTGTTAATTTATTCATCTGCTTTAAATATATACTCTTATGAAACTGCAGGTCATTACAACAATCCTGCCAATGTTCTTACCTGTTTACAATTTATCTGTAAATATTCAATAAATCATTTCCATTCGTTTATAGAAAGCTTGTTATCATGATTTCTTATTCTTCCAGTATGTTTTGCCATTTCTGCTTATTCTGTAGGTTTTTGTGTCCATTCTTCCTTTGCTGGGACTTCTGCTTCTTTCCATTTTTTTTTTTTAAAAATATTTATTCCAATTTTGAAAGTTACAGAGAAAGAAAAAAGTAGAAAAAGAAAAACAAATCACATACATCTTATACAAAAAACAAACAATACAAAAGAAAAATACAAAAGACAAAAAATCACCATAAAAGGGTAACAAAAAATCAAATTAAATCTTTAAAACCGTTTTCCCATTTACTTATTTCCGTGACTTCCTCTCACCTCTCTGCTTTGTATTCTAGTTTGGATCGTATCTCCAGCAAATCCTTCTAACCTTCTTTTCATTTACTTATTTTAACATTCAAAAGTATTTAATTCTCCTCTATCTTTATTTTACACTTCATATTTACTTATTCCATTATACTCTGTCTGCCAATACGGTCTAATATTCTTCTCCAACCTTTTCTAACATTCTTTTATATTACAGTATTTCTGAAGATATATTTTAAATTTTTTCCAATCTTCTTCCATCGGCCCTTCTTTGCTTCTTTCCATTTTGGGGCAAGTAACATTCTTGCCCCTGTAGTAGCAGACGTGAATAAGTTTCTATACAGTTTAGGTAGTTCTGTCCCTGTAATTCCCAAAAAGAAGCTTCTGGGTTTTTTTTACAAATGTTATTTTAAACATCCTTTTCAGTTCATTATATATCATTTTCCAGTAAGTTTTAACCTTACTGCAAGACCATCACATATGATAAAAAGAACCTTCTTTCTCTTTACATTTCCAACACTTATTTGATTTAGATTTATACATTTTTTTCCAATTTACTCAGTGTTAGCATTATGGCTACAACTTCAGGACATAGTTCTGTTCTTTCTTTTTTGTTTCATTTCCCTCTTCCCCCCACTCCCTGTTCGGCATAATATCCAACCTGATAATGTGTTTCTAGAGAACTCAAAAGCCTGCTTATACTTTTGTGAGGGTTTGGTTGCTCATAATAAATGCATCTCACAGCTGTGGATTTGGACATTGTTCTAATGAACTGATATAGATACCTTTGCTTTTTATACTGGTTATACTAATGCCTGTAAGATACATCCTGAAGCTCAGATTCATGAGATCTGTGTCCATGAGTCAGAGAGCACTTAGCTAGCAAAGTGTAAACTGAATCACTCAATGTACAGAAGGAGAGCGTCTTGCTTTGGCACAAATGACAGCAGTCGTGTCTGGAAGTAGAGGAGCCCATTTGCTGTTCAAACTGTGACTCATCTTTCCTCCTCTGCATACTAATTTACATATGTCCCATTAGGAACTGGTGCACAGAAAACACATTACTAGGATTAGCAGTGTGTCTGACACATGCAGAGTAAGTTATTAGAAATGGCTGTTACACAAACACACGCCGCCAGGATACTGACTGGATGATTCCATGCTTTATTCAGCCTGCACTTAGATAAATGTGCATATAGCAGCCAAAACCCTGACTATTTTGCATATGCCCAGCTTTATCTAAATGATTTTCATCCATCAGTCATTTTCATAGTAAGCCCAGGCTAGATACAGACACTATTTTTCTAGAAAAAGAGGTGCTGGAACTCAACATGAAACACCTCCCTTCTTTTCTTATAATGCCAATGGTGCCCACCTGAGAGGTGCTGGAACTGAGTTCCGGTTCAAAAAATACCCCCTGCTAACCAGGGGCGGCAACTATTGGAGGCCCTGGGGGCCCAAGCACCCACAATTTTGTGGTGGGTGCTCAGCACCCACACCATAGAGCCCCTGATGCAACTTCTGCAAAGCAGAGTCATGTCCGAGGCCTTGCAAGACTTCAGAGTTGCTGTGACACTGGAACTCAGGTTCCGAAGCCTTGCAAGACCTCAGACAGCATCTCTGAGCCTTCGCCAGACCTCGGAGATGCTATCCAAGGTCTAGGAACCTGACTTCCGGTGCAATTGTGTTGTCAACTGTTGCCTAAAAATTTTAGTGCTGTTTCACAGACACTGGGATCATTCCTCATCAGCAGATGATTTTTCCTGCACCCATTTTTCATGAAAACATAATTATAAATTACCGTACTTTTCTGCCTATAAGACACCCCCATGTATAAGATACCCCCTCTTTTGGGGGACTCAAATTTAAGAAAATGTGGGGAGATGGCATAGAGTTGTTGGGGGGGTGCCGAAAATTGCTCACCCCCCATGCGTCGCTATATCAGCCTCCCGTCTGTCCCATCACCGGCAGAAGCTGCCAATCGCCCGCCTGCTGGAGCGTCAGAAAAACAACACCCATTGATGCAGCAACCAATAACACACACAATAGCCGCTGACATTCTCAGCAGCAACCAATTAAATGTCTACCCTATGCACTACCCATGTATAAGAGGACCCCCACTTCTGAGCATGATTTTTAAAGGGGAAAAAAAATCTTATACACGGAAAGGTACAGTAACTATTTCTCTATTTTACCGGAAGTTTCTGTCTTTCTGCAACTAGAAGATCACAACTCAAGTTAAATACACATACGGAGCCAAATCACAACTTCTATGCCGGTTTCACATTCTGCACAAAGCAGGGCTTCTGATGTTTTTTAACAGTTAAGTAGTGTAATTTGACAGTGTCGACCACAGCAAACTATGGCAAGTTCTTAAAGAAATGGGAGCGCCTGATCACCTCATCTGTCTCCTGAGAAATCTCTATGTGGGACAAGAAGCTACAGTTAGAACTGGATATGGAACAACTGATTGGTTCAAAATTGGGAAAGGAGTACGACAAGGCTGTATATTGTCTCCCTGCTTATTTAACATATGCAGAATTCATCATGCGAAAGGCTGGGCTGGATGAATCCCAACTATCAACAACCTCAGATATGCAGATGTCACAACCTTGATGGCAGAAAGCGAAGAGGAATTAAGAACCTTTTATTGAGGGTGAAAGAGGAGAGCGCAAAATATGGTCTGAAGCTCAACATCAAAAAAACGAAGATCATGGCCACTGGTCCCATCACCTCCTGGCAAATAGAAGGGGAAGAAATGGAGGCAGTGAGAGATTTTACTTTCTTGGGCTCCTTGATCACTGCAGATGGTGACAGCAGCCACGAAATTAAAAGACGCCTGCTTCTTGGGAGAAAAGCAATGTCAAACCTAGACAGCATCTTAAAAAGTAGAGACATCACCTTGCCAACAAAGGTCCATATAGTTAAAGCTATGGTTTTCCCAGTAGTGATGTATGGAAGTGAGAGCTGGACCATAAAGAAGGCTGATCACCAAAGAATTGATGCTTTTGAATTATGGTGCTGGAGGAGACTCTTGAGAGTCCCATGGACTGCAAGAAGATCAAACCTATCCATCCTTAAGGAAATCAGCCCTGAGTATTCACTGGAAGGACAGATCATGAAGCTGAGGCTCCAATACTTTGGCCACCTCATGAGAAGAGAAGACTCCCTGGAAAAGACCCTGATGTTGGGAAAGATGGAGGGCACAAGGAGAAGGGGACGACAGAGGATGAGATGGTTGGACAGTGTTCTCGAAGCTACCAGCATGAGTTTGACCAAACTGCGGGAGGCAGTGGAAGACAGGAGTGCCTGGCGTGCTCTGGTCCATGGGGTCACGAAGAGTCGGACACGACTAAACGACTAAACAACAACAAGTGTAATTCTAGACCCAACACTTTCTGCATTTTGTTTATTCAGTTTTCTTAGGAGAATTCCCAGGATCTTCCTTCTTCTACTTCTTTCTCTTTAGATTCATGCTCTGATTCACTGGAATTTGCCCACATCTCCCAATATTTCCCTTCCTGTGTAAATGCCATTAGTGTCCCATTTACAGGCACTGCTTCAAATGCCTCGTTCCATCAAGAATCTCTTAATCTGACTACTGGCTCCCTACTGCAATGAAACATGCCCACCTCGCAACCCAACCCGTAACCCATTTAAGTCAAAAAAGTACTTGGACTTAAGCCAATTTCATTTCATCTAAGTCAACAGGACCAAACTGGCTTAGGTCCAAGTACTTCAGCTTAAGTGGCCTGCAGATTGGGCTAGAACATTGAAACTTCACCCCAAGGACAGATTCACTTAAATCACTGTAATTAGGATGGTGTTTTGATGCTTCAGCTTGATAGCAAGCTGGGACTTTTCATTCTTAATAGGTACTGACTAAACAGAGCCTTCCCCCCGACTCCTAATGTACTGTGCTGCACTATTTAATTTTGGAAATGAGGCTCAGGAAAAACTCCAGTGTCCCTCTGTGTCCTATTAGACCAATAAAATTAATTTTAGGAGTATAATGTGCTAGGAAGTAGAATGATGGATGAGAACCTACCTGGCAGCTGCCTCAGGGATTGGCAATTGGACCAGCCCAGCAATGGCTGCAACATGTTCTCTGCTCGGGAAAGCCTTGGTTAGTGTTCAAGTGGTCCAGGATCAACATTGTCTTGATGGGTTTACACAGGTCTCAGCATAGAAGAAGAAGAAGAAGAAGAAGAAGAAGAAGAAGAAGAAGAGTTTGGATTTGATATCCCGCCTTTCACTCCCTTTAAGGAGTCTCAAAGCAGCTAACATTCTGCTTTCCCTTCCTCCCCCACAACAAACACTCTGTGAGGTGAGTGGGGCTGAGAGACTTCAAAGAAGTGTGACTGGCCCAAGGTCACCCAGCAGCTGCATGTGGAGGAGCGGAGACGCGAACCCGGTTCCCCAGATTACGAGACTACCGTTCTTAACCACTACACCACACTGGCTCTCATAAAAGTTCCTGAAAGAAGATGAAGCTGTATTGTGATTCTGTTTCTTTTTTTCCCTTCGGAAATTTATTTATTTGGTTTTTCAGATTGAAATTTTACAGTCTCATATCCCACATACAACATAAAAACTAGATTCCAAGGAATCTCTTGGACTTCCCTCCTCCCCTTTGTGGGTTCTACTGTTAATCATTTCCTCCTGCATCATTTATAATAATCCAGATCTTTTATCTCTCCATTGTATCCAAAAATTCACCCTTAAACTACAAGTGATATTCCAATCCTACTAACGATTTTAACTGTTTACAAAGCTTTAAATTTTCCCCATTCCTTTTTAAACTTTTGATCTTCCTGATTTCTGATTCTTCCGGGCATGTTAGCCATTTTGGCATAGTCCATCAACTTCATCTGCCATTCTTCTCTGGTAGGGACTTTATCTTCTTTCCAAATGGTACAAATGGGATAGCTCAGTTGGTACAGCATGAGATTCTTAATCTGAGGGTTGTGGGTTCGAGCCCCATGTTGGGCAAAAAGATACCTGTATTGCAGAGGGTTGGACTAGGTGGCACTTGTGGTCTCTTCCAACTCTATGACTGAAAAAGCGAAAGAGAGGATTGGCACATAGTCACCCAGTGTGTTAGAATTCCTGCTCCATGATTGCAGTCGTTGGATTGTTGTCTATCACATGACGGTGTATGTTTTGACTCCACAGAGTGGGAAGTGATGGAGACAGGATGTTTGTGTTACTGTGTTCCGTGAAGTGGGACTGTTGTCCTTTGTACTTTTTCTCTTTGCTGTCTGATGCTAGAGAGAGAGGGAGCCATGTTGCAGTGCTCCATGTGTGTTTATATGTAAATAAAGTAGATTAGCCAAAATGCTGAGTTGCTGAGGTCTGTTACTCATGATGCACAAACTTTGCAGATCCCTAAGTGTGCCGGTGTCGGTTGGCATCAGTCTCTGTGATGTTCGGGCAGAAGAAAGCTTATGAAGCTCCCGAATGATCAACCAGGAGGGAGGGAACATGTGTCTCTGCCAGGGTCCTACTCGAGTGTAGGCTGAACTCCTGACACAGTGAACTATTTAAGCTGGAAAAATGTGAGTCTGAAAATATGAAGACTTAATGCTACAGCCTTGTTAGCCTAAGCCTAATGGCTGACCCAGCCGTGTCCAACCCCAACAGAAGGCTAGCTCAGAGCTGCCTCTAAAAGAGCAAGGCTACTTAGGCAAGGATACGCAAGACCATTGTCACACACACACACCCCCAAGAAAAATTTTCATTCTAGGATCCGCATCATCACTAAGACAAGTAACTATATCACTTCAAGAAAGCACAAACTGCAACAAATTTTTAAAATGAAGGAGAGGAGATGAATGGGTGGCAGACCATGCAGGAGATACTCTGAATCTGACACAGGTATTTGTCTCAACAAAAATGCCTTTTACATCTTGGGTTACTCAACCACGGAAGAAAAACATGCAGACAAAGCCCTGTAATGCAAAGGCTGTGCGGCTTCTCCACACAATTTTCCTAACTGAGAGCCATCAGTGCATCTGCCATCAGTTAGAAGGTAAAATGGATGAAATAATTCCTACGCTCACAAACAGAGGCTCCATTTTGAGCCAAAGATTGGGGGGGGGGGTGCAGTGTACGACGTCTCATCACAACATCAAGAGGAGCCAATAGTGGGATAGGAGAGCTGAAGGTGATACTGTGGTCTAAACCACAGAGCTTCTTGGTCTTGCCAATCAGAAAGTTGGGGGTTCGAATCCCCACAACGGGGTGAGCTCCCGTTGCTCTGTCCCAGCTCCTGCCAACCTAGCAGTTCGAAAGCATGCCAGTGCAAGCAGATAAATAGGTACTGCTGCGGTGGGAAGGTAAATGGTGTTTACGTGCCCTCTGGTTTCCATCATGGTGTTCTGTTGTGCTAGAAGCTCCATCATGAGACGTCCACCAGCTTCCAACCACAGATACCAGCAGCCTTCAAGCAAGCAAACTTGCCTTATTATCGCTCCCTAGCATCCCACTGCCAGAGGATTGCTTCCTTCCATTCACCAGTTTGCTTCCTCCAAGTGGAAGAAACCTGGGCAGTGCTGAATGTCACATCCATTGCCAGGTGTATCCTGCTGGAAATAAAAAAAGGACTTTCCCCTTGGCCTGCTTTTATATCCTCTCAGTTGCCAAGTGCTTTTGTGACATCACAAGAAACCCACAGCCAATGGCAACAGCTGGGGAGGCATCATCTTCATTGCTTTGAGCCTCACAATGGCGGGTGGACCTATCAGTGATTGTGTGCTTGTTTATTCGGGACACAGGTGGAGCTGTGGTCTAAACCACTGAGCTTTTTGGGCTTGCTGATCAGAAGGTCAGTGGTTCGAATCCCTATGATGGAGTGAGCTCCTGTGGCTCTGTTCCAGCTCCTCCCAACCTAGCAGTTTGAAAGCACACCAGTGCAACTAGATAAATAGGTACCACTGCAGTGGGAAGGTAAACAGCGTGGGATAGGAGACCTGAAGGTGATACTGTGATCTAAACCACAGAGCTTCTTGGTCTTGCCAATCAGAAAGTTGGTGGTTCGAATCCCCACAATGGAGTGAGCCCCCATTGATCTGTCCCAGCTCCTGCCAGCCTAGCAGTTTGAAAGCACGCCAGTGCAAGTAGATAAATAGGTGCTGCTGTGGCAGGAAGGTAAATGATGTTTCCGTGCACTCTGGCTTCTGTCACAGTGTTCCATTGCACCAGAAGCAGTTTAGTCCTGCTGGCCACATGACCTGGAAAGCTGTCTGTGGACAAAGTCCAGCTCCCTCAGCCTGAAAGCATGATGAGAGCCGCAACCCCATAGTCGCCATTGACTGTACTTAACCATCCAGGGGTCCTTTACCTTTTTACCTTTAGGAGAGCAGAAAATAATGTCAATATATTTCACATCTGGAAACCAATGCACCCCTTTGATTTCAGATAGTACATGGGTAAAAGGTAAAGGTAAAGGCACCCCTGAACATTAGGTCCAGTCGCGGACGACTCTGCGGTTGCGGTGCTCATCTCGCTTTATTGGCCGAGGGAGCCGGCGTACAGCTTCCAGGTCTGGTTCTGGTGAACCAGAGCAGCGCACAGAAATGCTGTTTACCTTCCCACTGGAGTGGTACCTATTTATCTACTTGCACTTCGTGCTTTTGAAATGCTAGATTGGCAGGAGCAGGGACTGAGCAACGGGAGCTCACCCCGTCATGGGGATTTGAATCGCCAACCTTCTGATCAGCAAGCCCTTGGGCTTTGTGGTTTAACCCACAGCGCCACCTGCATCCCTAGTACATGGGTAGACGAGTCTAAAAAGCCCAGGCATACAATTTTCATGGCCCTCTAGCTGCTATTGTGGCTCATTTACCAGAAGTAATGTATTTAGTGTTAACTGTGAAAGTGTATACTTGATTCTTCAATGGCCGATGGCTTCTTCTCTCTAATGCTTGGCCTCCTCCTGCTGCTGCTGCCATTGGGGGGCCCAAAATAATTATTGGGAGGGCCCAAGTCAGCTTAGCCCCTAGGAGACAGTGCCCCTGCCCACAAGTAATATTTTGGATACAAGCTTTTGGAAATCCAGTGGGGTGCAATGGCCAATGTTAGACTTGGCCCAGCAAGCCCTAGCTTGTCATCCCTGCGGAGCTGTGGAATTTGCTCAATGGGCTTGGGCAAGGGAATATCTTGCTATCTAACTTGCCTCACAAGTCGTTCCGAGGATCACATGGCTTAACTCTTGCACTGAGCAAGAGTGAGAGGTTGGACCAGATTACTTCCAAGGCCCCTTCCAACTCCATAATTTCATTAATCTGTGCAAATTGCTCTGAGATTCTTGTAGAAAACACAGCTTACAAAAGTACGCAATATAACATCGAATACTACCACTTCGAAAACAGCTCCTGTGCCTTTAATGGTCATGAGGCCGCAGATGATTGACAAGTGTAGCTTCTCCTGTGAAATCAGCAATATCACTAAGCATCATTGTAGCAGGCTTACTACACTTAAACCAAAACCAGCATCAGATATGGCAATATCACAACAGCGGCAAATGTTTTGGTCATTTAGATGAGAGTAGAGCTTCCCCGCACTCCTGCTGGAGGTGAAGAAAGATGCATATTCTTCCTCTGTTGTCAATTTTTGAATCGAAAAGCAAGCTGGAAGTGAAATTAGTATCTTGCCTCTATGACAAGAAGATGAAATGCAGTTTCAGATAAATTAGGAGAATAATAGAGAGTGAAGTTCTGGTTCAAAAGGTCACCAAACCTGATTAATTCTTAGCCTTGCTGGTCTGTAGTTAGATCAGGCCAAGAAAAAGGCAACTCAGAAAAATAATTTGTCACTAGGCCCACCATGTAAGACACAGGGCTGCCAAATGAACTGCCATGTTTTCAACTGCAATAAGAATATAAATGTCATATAAGTAAACCAGAGGCTCAGACAAGATTGCAGAGTGGTGCAAACCTTCAGAAACCTACATGATTGTAAACCAGTCCTTTCCCATCTTCAAGATTTCTTCAGGCTCTAATATTTCTCTGGGATGTGATATATAATGAAATTAATGAATTTTTAAAAGTGACTTTTCCCAAGAGGACAGAATTATTCCTGTTGGGGATACTAGAAAATGAAATCTTGAAGAAAACCTCAACAGTATTTATGTATGTGACTATAGCTGTAAGGATTCTCTATGCACAGAAATGGAAGGAGGAAAGAACACTCTCAAAGGAATAAT